TGTCAAATACACTTGTCGAGATGGCATAGATTGTATTTCCACTGTTAACGCTGAGTTTTCGAAAAATACAAAAGTCTGAAACCATTTCGGCGTCTTCCTGGCACTACAATATTGAAGATATCGATTTTTTCTCAAAATAAATTTTTTCTCCCCAATTAGTACTTGAAATACAGTCATGTTCATTGTCTTGAAAGTATTTGCAGGTCTTCGCGTTAAATTTAGTATATGTGCCATGTTGAAATATTTTAAAAACAAGGTTTTCTTGAAAATGGTTCAATTTTTTTCTTTAAAATTCTTCTTCGGATAGTGCTAAATGTACTGAATAATATGACATCAATGCTTCTATGACGTTTTCTTTTCTTATTTCAAACATTACACAAATCTATTTTCTTTAAATATCTCTCATGTCTTTAATATTTTCATTATTGGCATTTCTTATACGTCATTGCATTTCTGAGTACAAGTGGAGGAAATGATTTCGTATGAAGTTTTTCGAAAACTCGAAAATGGGAATGAAAATGAGTGTAATAAAGTTTGTGTATTTTCGGAAACGCTCAAACAATGTTTAACAAAGACTGTTTCTAATTTGTAAGTGAAAATTGCTATATTGGACCATGTTTTACTCCTATGTAATATTCTTGAAGCAATATTTCAGTTCTACCATTAGGGGAGCAAAAATTTGAGAAAATTTAAATAATGAGCTTTAGATGGTAATAGAAAGGAGCTTAGAAGAGGGTGAGGCAAAACCGTAAAGCTAGCCCAGACTAAAGAGATTCGAAAGCTAATTAATTCGAGAAAGGCTGTGCCATTCTGTAGCACCATTAGTTTTAAATTAAAAACGTCCACTTTTACTAGACCGGAGTTCAAGAAATCTGCGTTTGAACGTCAAGAAAGTTTTGAGATTGTACTTTTCTCCCCAACGTCTCATAGTTGCGTTTTTCTACATTAAGTATAAAAGTGCAATCCATTAGACAATATTGTTACTTTAAATGATGTCATGCACAGTTTGTTCAAAATATATTTTTTGTGTAATATGGAATAAAATCGTGTCAATTTTTCATTAAAAAAATCCCAAACTGATACTTGTGCAGCATCGTTGACCGGGAGGTCCTAGGTTTGTGTAATGACGGTTAAGAATTGTCGACAGTAAACACGTAGCTGGATCGAATTCAACCACTGTCTACAAAACAATTCTAGCAGTCGGTTGCTCTGAGAGGTAGTTTTGCGTATCCTTCTGACCAATTCCAAGAAAATGCCGGAGCAGTGTCTTAATAAACGGGCCACAGACTGCATCCCCATCTCCCATCACCATCGTTGTCTCCTGCTCTCCCATTAAACTTACACTTATAAGCACTAGACAAAAATACACGCCGGAATAACAGATGGGATCTTAGAGCATGCCACGTCATGGCGATGCCCTGTTGGGGAGATACTTGAAGAGGAAAGTCCAAGAAAACGGACGTTTAGTTCGGCTCCGGGTCCCGTCCGGATACCCCGCAAGGAAGACCGCCAAAGTTCTGGATGTAACACGTACTGCACTTACGGGGCTAATGACCAAAGTCTTTAACGCGGCCTGAAACAAAACAAATATTTAAACAATCGAAAATGCATGATTTTTTCGAAAACATTTCTACATTGTTTCTTAAAGTTTTTTGTACGGTTGTAGAATAAAGTACTGAATCATTTGCACAAGTGATATTTTATTAATACCTTCGAATTTTCAAATGTCATACAAGTGTGCAAAACTTTCTTCTCAGAGAGAGAGAGAGAGAGAGAGAGAGAGAGAGAGAGAGAGAGAGAGAGAGAGAGAGAGAGAGAGAGAGAGAGACAGAGAGAGAGACGGAGAGAGACAGAGAGAGACAGAGAGACAGAGAGAGACAGAGAGACAGAGAGAGACAGAGACAGAGAGAGAGAGAGAGAGAGAGAGAGAGAGAGAGATTTTAATGAGGGAATGATATATTTGATCTATTTGATCCGCGAAAATTATTTTTTCTACAAAAAAAAGGGTGAATAAAACGATTAGCAAATCCGATTTCGAAATGTACAAACGCTTTGAAATTAAAAATAATTTCGAGCATATATTTAATTTTTCGTTTCGGTTGTGACTTTCAGAAAAAATGTTTCTCGTAAAGGCGTTGGCGACTCGAAAAATTAAATTGTATGTTCAAAATTATTTTTATTTTCAAGGCATTTTTATACTTGGAAGCCGGTTTTACATTTAGGAAAAAAATATAACTGCGGGTTTGTGCGACTCATGTTCTACCGTAATCTGAACATACCTACGGATGCTCAGATATTGAAGTCCATGTACGCCCTTGGTTCGTGATCTCTTAGCGAAAACAAACGCAGCTATTTTCAGTGTATGTATTATTCTCCCAGGAGAATACTGACTTTTATTATGTGTTCTGCTGAGAAATGTATTATATAAATTTTAGAAGGCAAAATATTTGGCGAAGGCAAGTGGTCTTACAGCATCTAACGTCAAGTAGAATTACGAGACAATGCCGAAATGCGAGGCGAAGAGGGCTCTTTAATACGGGTACCCTGAGACCTCTTGTCTGAGCGATGACTCAGTCTGTGAGGACCCCTGTCTACACCACCCATCACAGTTCTTTGTTTTGACTACCACTCCCACGGGAGTGAAGGCGACATAATAATTTCATCTCAGTCGTCTTGGGAATAAATGTATCATCTTCCATGTTTCTGTGGATCAAGTAGTGTTCTGGAACAGATATTCTCTATAATATTGACTTTGTGCAATGCGTCAAGCCTTTTCTTTTTGAAGCGTTTAATTTAATTATTTTTAAATCAACCGTTATCTTTAGTGTAATTTAGTGGCACATTTCTTATGCCTACTCTCACTCGATTTAGCGAGAAGTGCATTATTTTGATCCGTTACGTGTACATTTATTACAAGTAAGAATATTGATCACAATAAGCACCAAAGGCACCAAAAACCCATGCACAAATAACTGATATGATATTCGAATTTCGAATATTCTTTTTACCAACGTAAAACACTTAACGTATTATGTGAATTAATTATTAACAATATAGTTAATAGTTTGCTTTTGCTTTAATTGTGCTCTGACGCAGTTTCGATTTAATGATTCTTGGCTAAGGCAACTCTGCCATGTCGCCGTGTGTGATGTCCGGCGTTCTATGATCTCATCTGTGGCAGATCTAGAGGGGTGTTATCCTACCTACAAATCATGTTAAAAATCGCCATTACCCCATTAGTGCCCGAATTAATTGTGCTGCGTATCGCACTCTTATTGTTACCCACTTATGTGCGGAGGGGCATTGTCAGAGCTATTCCATAGCATATGTGTGGAATTTGTGAAGTTGCTAGAATTATACCACAAGAACGTGATACCACTTGATTGCATGTGAGCGATTCCTTCTTGCTTTAAATGTAGTAAAACCAGTGATCTTAGCATGTATATAAATCGTAAACTTCTGTGCGAACCAATTCTGTGCAACCCACCCCGTTTGCCATTATACCAATCTGCTCACCCGACTTAACCACAGACATTTAACCACAGACCAGCTAAGGGTGGTGTTACGAAATGTCTGGTGTTTTCTTCTCATCTTTGGCAAATACAGAAGGGCGTCATCAGGTTTGAGCATATCTAACAAACCTAGTTAAATATGTATTAATTTACATTGTAAGTAAATAAAATAAACTCTTAAGTTAGCATTAGGTTTCTGCTCAAAGTGCAGTAAGTGAAATAAGTAAATTTGATTGGATTTATTTTCGTCAAAGAAAAGTAAAAACGTATGGGGCGTATATTGGTGAGTACTGACGTGTGGGGGAGAACTATAATCTGTGCACGTTTCTTCAGCTGTAGAATCTCTTCCCCAACGTCATACTACACACAGTGGAATGATGAATAAAAAGTACCACCAAAGCAAGTAACATTTTAAAACTAAATATTTTTGCTAATGAGCTACAGAAACCTTATTTGCATCGGTAAACTAACTAACTTTGATTTTTTAGTATTGCTAACAAAATAGCAACCCAGTCCTCTGGCTCTTCTCCCAACACAACTAGCAAAACGAGAGATCAACAAAATCGCACCTGTGAAGCTACATTTACATCCCGGGGCTATCTCAGCATTTTCTCAATAAAAACAGTTATTTAACATTGCATCTTGACAATAATCTTCACAGTTGGAAATTATGTAATATTATTACATTGAACCACCACGAGAACGTGATTCTCTCCACAAATTGAATTTTTATATTTGCCTCCGAATCCTATGGCGAAGAGTGTTGGCTGCTTGGAGAGGATCTGGCCGTTTAAAGAGCGCAACACGGCGCATCCAACTAAAAGTACGTCAAAAACAAGATGAACTTCGATTTTTAATAGATTCAATACGTTTTCATATTTATTATAACATGCGTATTACTTGTTACTTTCTCATGTGTATGTTTATTGATTGATTGTGATACCAGGAACCAAGATGTAATTCTTTGCTTCACGGCCGCATAATCTTTGCGGAGACGCTGGAGTGATCTTCGTTTGCAGGCCTTTATAATTGAATAAATTTGACTCCATGAAATTATACCTTAAATGAAACATTAATAAATTAAATCGATGTTATATTGAACCATTTACAAGTTGGTTAATAACCTCGAGATCCTCTTCTCCGGCTGTGGACGGATTCAACGGAATTGGAAAAGGGGAGATTCAACATTTTTTACCGAAATAAAGTGTTTTATTTCGTAAGGCAATGGGCCTCATTGAAAATTTTGAGATGACGCACGATCCCTCGTGTGCACACGCCTATGATGACAATTATAAAAGGGCCCCTGTAACACTTTGTAATAAAGCATTTTATTTACTAAATATTCTTTCCCTGATTTTCCCCTTATTTAAGCTGACAATTTGGGGAATTGTTTTGCGACATATGAGGAAGACGTTCTCCAAGTCATTGGGTAACCCGGTTCAACATAAAATGAATGTATTAATTGTCTGATTAAAGTCAAAACTTAATCCCCTTACTAGGGGAATATATTTTATTTATTTTATATCAAAATATGGCAGGCGTATATAAGAAAGGCTTAATAGTACAGGGGGTCCAAAAAAGTCTATGCCCCCTCTTGTGGACACCTATAAAGAAAAAAACAACTCAACACAGGCGCACGCTGCTTAAAAAGAAGGGCCAATTACAATTCTGGCCCCCCTTTTCCATGGAATATTTTACTTCTACATGCTGTATATTGCCAGCAAATAAACAGAACATTCTACAATGCGAATGAAATAATAGCTTTAATACTTCGATTATTAAATATAATTTACTTTATTTTTTTAAACATTTCAAGAATTTCCAAATAGTTTGAGGAGTCTCTTCCCCAAATATCATACTATTGACATACATAGTTTAACCTTGTTCCAATTGCCAGGTTAAAAAACGGATTTTTTCAGAGATTGAACTTGTTTGCGGATTTTTTTAATGATGTGAGCCTTCGGGGCCCTCTTTAAAATTGCCCAGGGGACCGACCGGCCGGTGTGCACGCCTATACAATTAAAGAATCCAAAACGAAAGGGGAGAGCTGCACGTGACGGCTGTCAATCGCGGCAGCCGCGCCTTCCTGCGGCGAGCGCAGTCCCACGTGCGCCTCGGGCGGCGGCGGCGGCGGCGGCGGCGGCGGCGGGGCAAAGGTGGGCGGTCGGTGGCGGCGGCGGCGGCGGCGGCGGAGGCGCATCTCTCCCGTCGTACGTGACGTCATCTGCCGGGAGCGGAGTTGGCGGTGGCGGCGGCGCGGCGGGCGGCGAGCGGCAGTGCTTCGCGAGCGTTCGTCAGGTGCGGAGCGGAGCGGGCACGAGCGAAAGCGGAGGCGGAGAGGAACGAGAAGGCGAGGAGGTCGGACGGCTTCGCAGGACCAATCGTTGGCGGCGACGGGACTCATCCGAAACACGACCGAGCTCTCAACCGCTGTAAGTGGATGAAAGTGCGTCTGAATACGCTTGCACGTAGATGGATTCCTGCTTATTTCATTTGCTTTAGGCTCGGAAATTATTTCCCACATTTAGTGATAATAAATGATTGAAAATAAATCACTCTTCTTTCAAAGGTTGATGACGATGAGAATGTGTTATAAAAACAATGATCTGCTTCTAGAAAAAAGTCAGCGAATCTGCATGGGATTACAAAATGCCGGTCCAGAATTTTGGTGGAATAAAGTACATTCGTCCCTTTTGTCAATCATTTTTACCTTAAATATTGTTTGCTTTTAGTGATCATCATTATCTTATTTATTCTTGATGTGTAGCGATGGTCTATGATTATCGAGTCGTATTTTTTTTGTTTTCTCTATTGTCAGTTCAGTAACAGTTTGGACATTCTTTAATGCGCAACTTTATGTTTTTTTTTCTGTATCCTTATTAAACATTCGAAGTAACTAAAGGAAACATTGAAATTCTTACTACATATGTAATTGTAACATTAGTTTGAAGGCGAATTTTCAAAAGGACAAATTGTTCTTCATATTACCCAACGTCAGTCTATTCCATATACTCAATATGTTAACATAATTTGCCGTTTTTTAATGGAGTGATCAATAAAATAATTTCATGCTTCGTTCTGTATTCATTAAATATAATTAAAATAACTGAAGTATAATTCATTTATTTCAGTGTACAGAGTCCCTTCAGACACATGCCGATTTTCATCCTGAAGATTTTTTCCGTGAGCCGTTGTATTAAATGTAGGGGGTTTTGGAAAACCGGAGCCAATCGCTCAATTAACAATTTTGTTTCCTGGTATATCGTTAAGGAAATCCGGCAGATCGGTATATATTTTACAATATGAATATCATATATCGGTTTTCGTCCTCAAACACGCAATATCGATTTATTTCGTTATCAAAAAGGATTTGCTATTTCGACCTTAGGTGCAAGATTGTCACAATGAAAATTGCAGCTTGTAAGGAGGTTCAAACATATGAAGCTAAGTTTTTAGGCCTGGAAGATGGCTGGTTTGTTTATGTGCAGTAGATCTCTTTTCGTGCGAAATGATTAGTGTCACTTTGCAAAAACTTAGTAAATTTCATTTTTTATGCATCCAAACACTGAATATGAATAGCTATTTTTGAATTTTAACAATCTTCTATCACAAAAACGAATATCGTTGAAGTAATTGGATTACGTTACTTTAATGGGATGAAGTGATAGAATTATCCTATGTTGACGAAAATGTTATAAATATATTGTCTTATTACCTGAAGATTAAAATGTCCAGAATATCTTTATGAATATTTGAAACATGTATACAAACTACGGGAATAGGAGCGAACTACGGGAAAAGTACTATAGGAATTTGGTACTGACGCAGTAGAAAATGGTGTGAGCAAATTTACAACAGTCCTCATTGCTAATTGAAAGTTTCCAAAAGAAAACATTTTAAAAGTTCTAGTGTAAATGCTTCAATATATGTATTTATATTTTGATCAGGGAAAAATACAAAAAATAAACATAGAAGACGGTTGATTCAAGCACCTCGGTCCCAAAATATCGCTTTCTGTGTGGATCGCCTCAGAAAACAGTATTTTAGAAAAATCAAGGTCTAAATAGTTGGTTTATGCTGTCACTGAAAATTTTGTTTTTGAAGAGTGGAGAATGTTCTTTTTAAAAAAGGGCTCAACGTGGTTATGTTAACTTTTATTTTGCGAGAATGCCACATTAGGCTAATTGTTCTTTCCACGTACCTATGCAGTTTCTGTACCCACATTTTTACGAGTAGGTCAACATTTTGAGGGACTTCTGATAATTGTTTTGAAGTTTGCAAATAATATTGGTAATGAACAAAATTCCCCGTGTTCATTAAGTAGAGAAAACAATTTCATCGGGTAACAATAACTCCATTGCATCACTTCAAATGTCACTTCTGCAAACAACGTATCGAAATATTTTAGAGAACGAATTTAGCATTTTATTTTAAAGGAAACTTTAAATCAGTATAAATTTGAGTAAAATGTGAAAAGAAGAGGATCCATGATAGCATTGATTTTTAAATCCATTTCACACCCACCTTTATCACTGTAAATCGTTAGATTATGAAAAGATTAAATAGTTTGTTGGGTTGTTTGTGGTAGGCCAGAGGGAATAATTTAAGGTTCGTGTGCACTACGTATGTGTTACGAAGCTGAAGATACACTAACGGCTTTGTGCCACTCGTAATCGGTTCTCCAGGTACCTTTTCCGGGAAGTCACATCTGTCATCATTTACGCCTCAGAAACCTCTCACTGTAACAATATGACTAATTTGGAGGATTATGGAATGGTGGAAACTCGATGTGATAATCCTTAAAGAAAAAGCCGAGTGACCGAATATTTCGTCTTCACGAGGTTTAAATTGCCGAAGAACATTTGCTCGAGGAAGCGATTAGGAATAAATAAAACCGATATATCAGGAGTTCGAGTTTTCGATATGTCGCCGAATTTCATAAAATTCACCGATGTGGTATAAAAGTTGCAAATCTTTTTTAGGTGTGTAAGATACGTGATTGTAGTGGAAGCGCTTTCTGCCAGCCCTTATCATACAACGTGATACTGAAGAAAATGCATGACTATCTTTCTCAATTTAACTTCTCGTGCTATTAAACTCCTCATTTTAATGACTAAAAGCTATTTTTACTACTGTAATAAAATAACAATAGAAATTAACCATTGAAAAAAAATATTTTGACAGGAAATGAATATACTCTAACCATAACTCTATCTTAACTAATTAATAAATTCAGGATCAGTCTTATCATGTTTTTTACTGTATCGAAGATCGTCCAATACCTGAAACGAAATACCACACAGCTTCGTACGTCAATCAATTTGCGTTTCACCTATGCACTTACACACTCTCTCCCTCCCTCCCCCCTCTCTCTCTCTCTCTCTCACACACACACACACATTGCTTTTTAGTAAATAAAAACAATTTGTAATTCTCGATAACTATAATTTAAGAATTCAGAGCACAGCAAAAGAGCATGTACCTTTGAGTACTACATCTCGGTAATGAGAAATTTGTACTGGCTGCTATAGCTCAGTTGGAAGATACGTTGGTTTTGCAGAATCGTTGAACGGGAGCTTATATAAGTTTCTATTCCCGACTGTGTTGGGGTTCGGAGTCCAGCTACTTTGCTAGTGTCTGAAACCTCGACCAGTAGTCGAATTCAAACAATTTAGTGGAAACACAGAAGAATTATAGCGGTAGTTTGCTCTGATCGATGGTTTTCCCTGGTTTATCAACTAATGTCAGGTAAACGTCGGAGAAATATCTTCAGACACGGATCAGGAACAATGCGCGATCCTTCCTTCCTCATCTTTAAACCCTCGTCACTTCTTACGCACGCATATACACACTCACACTTCGCTATCTGTTGCTGACGCCCCCGTTAACAATAAATATTCACTTACAAATACTCATTAAGAAAGTATGATATGAACTCCATATTATTCAGGCCTTTAGGGGGCAAGAAATATTAATTGGACAGTCTTTTATCATAGGACCGGAGAATCATTTGAAGTGCAACTACAAAAAAAAATTCTTTTAAAACGGAATAAGTTTTACTTTCCTTATTGACGCACAAAAAGATTAAAAGCTTCTGTTCTGTTCCTTCTTCTCATGTAGAGTCACATAGTCCTAGCATAGTGCTGTCAATTGCGTAACGTTCTAGGAAGACACTTCGTTCACTAGTAACTAATTTTATCTCCTTTTTTTGTTTTCTGACGTCATTAATTGCAGTTAGATTACAGCTGGCGACAATGTGGCGAACAAAATTTCAGTTAAAGTCACACTTATGAGAGATTGTACTACCTCCTAAAAGGTAAAAGTGTTTGTTCAGTATTCAGCATCTTCACGATTCCTTCGTGTTCAGGTGCAGATAATTCACTTCAAACTGCGAATGAAAAGTAAAATCCAAAGAACATTTAAATATTCCAAATTCAGTTAAACAAAACATAAGAGAAAGTATAACAAAGGTTTTCAATTTAAATTACCGTGGTGGCACAGGGCACGTGACTGATGTCACTGCAGTGCCACTGACCGGGAGGAGTTAAGGTTCGAGTGCCGACGGTGGTAGTATTTTCGACACCAACTACACAGATAGATAGAATTCAATCTGGAGGAGAATTCTAGCGGACAGCTACTCTAATCGGTAATTTTTCGTGGTTTCTCAGACCAACACCAGGCGCATGCCGGAACGGTACCCTAACGGACCGCGCGCGATCTTCCTTCGCCTATCCATACCCTTAATTTACACAGACTTACACTCACATGCACTACACTATCGCACTTGTCGGGGGCTTAGAGCGTGTTCCAGTTGGGGCGGTGCTCCGCTGGTGGGAGATTCCTGATTGGATTGAGTAATTTATTGCGGGCAAGTCAATGGGTAAGGTCATTAGTCCCGTAAGTGTATTTCATGTTTATGTAGCTAGAGGCGATGGTGAATCCCGGAGCCGACTTACAGGTCTGCTTGAGAGGTTTTCCCTCAAACAAGATATCTCCACCAACGGGTCACCGCCCCAGCCGGGACAAGCTCTAACCTCCCGATCGGTCTCCCGGAATGTGTGGTAGTGTAGTGCATGTAAGTGGAAGGGGTCGTAAGAAAGAGATGAAGATAGGACAAGGAATGGGAAGGAAAGATCACGGCGGTCAGTGGCCCGTTTGTGAGGATACTTCTTCGGCATTCGCGTGGTGTTGTTCGGAGAAACCACGCACTAAAACTACCGATCAGAGCAGCCGGCCACTAGAATTCTCCTCCAGTCAGCGTCTGAATTCGACACAGGTATTTAGTGTCGAAATGCCTGATGCCGCCGGAACTCGAACCCTAGGACCTCCCGGTTGATACGAATATTTGAAATTATTAACACTATTTTTAATCTTTTGTAATATTTTCATTACTAAGAAAAAATGTTTACTACAATGTTGTGCTCCCTGATAG